ACAATTTTAAATAACATTACATATATAATATAATTATAGTACAGTTTAAAGTAATTTATTAAATCATATAACACATACATAATTAATAATAAGTCAACAATTATAAATACAATTACATATATAATATAATTATAGTACAGTTTAAAGTAATTTATTAGCTTGATATTTTAAACCTAAACATTTTATGTATTCTAATTAGCTAATGTTCCCTTTTTCATATTTATTCCACGTTTCTTGCGATCGCCTAATTAAATTAATATCAGAATAGTTAAGTTCATTCTGAAGCCCTGACTTATCTACTAATAATTCTTTCCTAATAATTTTATTAGGTTTTTCATGTGTTTGATCAGTAGCTTTTTTTTTAGAAGAACTTCGAATTATATCTATAGCTAAAGATCTTTTTGTACTCGGCTCATGATTATGTAAATGTGTTGTCATCTCTAATATATTTTTTACATTACTATCAATTAAGACACTTACTTTACATTTTTTGTTTGTACAACGAAATCGAATTGTTTCATTTTGAAGAATATTTGATTCTGTGTATTTGTACTGTTCGATAACTAGGTATACGTCTTTTACCTCTTTTCGTAGTTAAAATATGTTCAATTTTTAAATCCATTATAAATGTAAGAAAATATAAAAATTTACAACTGACTAATATTGTTAGAATTAATTTTTAAATAATCGTACGTGAAAGTATTATTCAAGACACTACACATAGCACACTACAGTGTTATTATGTACAATTTGGACAGCGTGTCTGAATCGTAATCTTATTTTCGATAATAGTGATTAATAACGATTAGCAATATTGCAATCATATCATCAGAGTATCTTTCACCCGGTTTTTACCTCGCACAGGTAAAAATAATTTCACTCGCCCAAACGGTACAAATGATAGTCGCCCAAACGGACTACTATTTTTTTGGTAAAAATTATTACCTTCGCCCAAACGACCACCGCCCATATTAATTCGTGCCAGGGCGCGCCGTGCTATTTACTCGGTTTTTGTGATGCGTCACAGAAAGGGTATGCCGGCAATATCCCGCGCCTACTTGGTTTTTGTGATGCGTCACAGAAAGGGTATGCCGGCAATATCCCGCGCCTACTTGGTTTTTGTGATGCGTCACAGAAAGGGTATGCCGGCAATATCCCGCGCCTACTTGGTTTTTGTGATGCGTCACAGCGTGGGTACGCGGCAGTAGTTTACGTACGCATGGCCGATGTCACAACCGGTCATTCAGTGTTTCTCATCGGTACAAAAACCAAACTGGCGCCGACAAAACCGATCACTATACCGCGCCTTGAATAAATGCCGCCCTATTACTAGCTCGTTGGCTAGGCCGTCTTCGTGATATTTTATCACCACAGCTTAATATAATTGGTGTCCGGGCATGGTCTGATTCGATGATTGTACTTTCGTGGTTAAAGGTTCCTCACGAATCATTCAAAATTTATGTGTCTAATCGCGTGCAGCAGATTCGCACGTTGTTGCCAGATTGCACCTGGTCATACGTGGAATCAGTCAGTAATCCCGCCGATTGCGCGTCGCGCGGCATAATGCCAAGCGTGTTATCACAGTTCGAGCTGTATTGGCGTGGTCCTCAAATAACGCGCGATGACCCAACGGAATAGGACGATTCTCGCCCTGCACTACCTCTATGTGACTTGCCAGAAACCTATCATGTTTCTTTCGCCACCCGTAACGACGAAATAATGGGTGAATGGTTCGATCGATTTTCCGATTACGATCGCATGTTGCGCGTTGTGGCATATATGCGTAGATTTGTGTGCGCGTGCCGCCGCAATGTGCTCAGGCGGAGTGGTGACGACCGTACATTTGTATCACAGAGTTCCGAATCAATCGATTCCGCGTTTTTTGCAAGTCTGAATTAGATCGCGCGGCCCAAATATTAGCAGCCGATTCGCAGCGGGTGTATTTTTCAGAGTTGTTGCGTGAATTGTCCTCCAGAAGTCGCATTTCGTCCAGACTTTTAGCTCGTCTATCTCCATTTGTTGACCCGGCAGGTGTATTACGTGTTGGTGGTCGCCTTCGGCATTCCACATTAGATTACGACTGTAAACATCCTATTTTGCTACATAAGAGGTCACATTTTTCCCTATTGTTATGTCGTCGTTGGAACCAGGCAACGTGTCATGCCGGCCCGCGCGTTCTAGCCACACTTATTTCGCGACAGTTTTGGGTGGTGTCATTACGATCCGTGTTACATAGTGTAATTTCAACATGCGCCGTATGTGTTCGGCACGACGCGAAACCATTACAGCCATATATGGCTGACTTGCCTGACACTCGAGTATAGCAGCGACGACCGTTTGAGCGCGTAGGTATCGATTTTGCCGGCCCTCTACAAATGCGCGAAGTGAGTCTCCGAAAATCGAGCGTATTTAAAATTTATGTAGCCATTTTCGTCTGTTTTTGTACTACACTCAGAAAAAAACATTTCTTAAAATCTAAATTTTTGTTACATTGATTTATTAATATWCGAGTTTGCTTCAAYTAATTATGAATTTYATTAAAACCATTAGTTTATAATCAATTACATAACAATTATTTCAAATTAATGAAAAAAAAAAAATTTGAATCAATTGAATTGCATTAAATTGATAAATAAATATTATTTAAAGTAAGTAAACAAAAGTACTTAAATTTACGATAAAATGATTGTATATGAATTTAAATTAATGCCTAATTTCGTTGATATAACGAAATATAAAATACATTAAATTTATGAAATCATAGTTTCATTTTAATTTGTTCGTGTCATTAATAAGACGGAAATCAAAATAGATACAAATAGTTGGTTTATTTAATATTATCACAATATATACTTGAATGAATTAACTCTTTGCGGCACACGTTTTTCAGATTTTTCTACCACGTTGTTGCACAACCTATTAAATTTTACTTTAATTGTCATAGCTTTTATTGTAATTTCTTTTTAATCCACTCCATACAATTATTATTACGTAAAAAAAAAATATATGAATTGAATGATGTGTTAACTATAGGTGGGATCACATGTATCCCACCGTGTACTTTGAGAGGTTATTTTGTGAGCAGGTAGTATAGAATTTAGGATTTCAACATTTCTTTTTTTATTTATTATTACAGCAAGTTATAAATTTTATAATAAACCAATTTATTCCTTATAATATAAGTTATGTCCTTTATAACTAAGAATAGTGTTATTAAAATAAAAAAGTAACAAATATTTATTTCGTACAACAAAAAAATCTTAAAAACAATTAAAAATTAAATTGATTACTTTTGTGAAAATTAAAAAAAAATTATACAACTTCCATTAACTATTTATGGTAATCAGTAAAACAGTTTTTGTTCTTATTTAAACACAAAGGTATRTTACACACTGAGCATATCCATTCAGTTCTTACTTCCTTTACTTTAGTACTGCAATTTCCGCATCTTCTTCGACTAGATCTTATTAGTTGGTGTGCAGATTGATCGAGTCTAATATTTTTTGGAACAAACGGCTTATTTTTTTTGAGTTGAACTGGAGGTGATTCTGAAGTTTGCTTCATTCGACGTTTTTCTAACATTTTTTTTCTTACTAATTCTGAAGAAATTTCCCTGCGAAAGTCCTTCATTTTCATTTTAGTTCCAGTTTTTTGAGTGTATATCACATGCGCGTTTACAATAGCGACATCGATAAAATGAAAAAAAATACGATGCCACCACTTTTTGCTTTTTCTATCGATTTGGCAAGTTTTTTTTATTTTGGTCGAACCTATCGACACAATTCATATTTTGATTGTAATCTTTTAATGCACTAGGGCAAGGAACATATGAAAGTGTTCCATCTTTAGCTTTTCGCTGAACTGTTTCTTCATTTTTGGGGTCATGAAAGTTAGAAAGTAAGCTTACTGTTCTCTTGTCTTTCCATTTTACAATAKAAGTTGAGTACTGGTCAACACGCCAATCATATTCTCCTGTTTTTAATTCCTTGTCTAATTTTAATGTAGGTAAATATTTTCTCGTCATATTTACAGTTCCACATGCATGAATATTTTTTGATTTCAAAAAAGTCATTAAAGGATAGCTA